GGCATTGGGGAAAAAACTGTTTTTATGCTATCTGTAGCGTCTGCCTGAAGGGAGAAGTGCAAACAGGTTGTGTCCGGGGTGACAGGGGTCTTTTATGATGTTACCTGCCCGTTTCTTCACTCTGGAGTTGTACAAGTCCTGAAGACTGGGCAGGTGCACACCAATGATCCTTTCTGCTGTCCTAACAGTCCGTTGCAGTCTTCTTAAATCTGATTTGCTGGCTGACCCAAACCAGACAGTTATAGAAGAGCACAGAACCGACTCAATAATAGCTGAGTAAAACTGTGTCATCTGTGCCTGTGGCAGGTTGAACTTTTTCAGCTGACGAAGGAAGTACAACCTCTGCTGGGCCTTTTTCACAATGGAGTCAATGTCTGCAGACAGCCAGCTGCTCGACCTCCTGTCTATAAGCAGACTCGTCTCTGTCCTGGATGAGTAAGAGACAGTCGTCTGCAAACTGCAGGAGTCTGCATCATCCACAGACCTGTTTGCTCGGTAAGCAAACTGCAGGGGCTCCAGCAAGGGTCCAGTAATGTCCTTCAAGCAGGCCAACACCAGTCTCTCAAATGACTTCATGACTACAGATGTTAAAGCAACAGGTCTGTAGTCATTAAGTTCTGTGATTTTTGGTTTCTTGGGTACAGGGATGATGGTGGAACATTTGAAACATTTGAGCATGTTGAACGTATAAAAAAATGCATACGTGATAAGCCAGGGCAACTGAAGTATGATATGCAATCAATCAAGTCCTCTTTTCATGGTTTTTACAAACAGTTCTACACATCAGAAAATCCCTCTGAGACAGATATTCATTCATTTCTAGAAAATATATATTTGCCCTCATTGTTAGAAGAAGACAGGGAGCAGTTGAACTCTCCTTTTACTCCAGAGGAGGTATTTGAAGCAATCTTGTCTCTCCCCTCTGGAAAATCGCCAGGCCTAGAAGGATATCCCATTGAATTTTATAAGATCTTCTGGCCTCAAATTGAGCCTTTGTTTATGCCCATAATTGCAGATTTTGTGCAAAATGGAACTCTTCCTGAAACAATGAGGACAGCTGTAATATGACTAATACAAAAGAAAGATAGGGATGCTGCTGATTGTGCCTCTTACTGTCCAGTTTCACTGCTCCCTGTCGACTTTAAGATAATATCTAAATTATTTGCTCGTAGGTTAGAAGATTTAATGCCCCAGCTGATCAACCCAAACCAATTCAGTTTTATAAAGGCACAAAATGCCCCTGATAATATTTAAAGGCTACTGAACATAATTGACCACTCGACTCTGCTCAACCAACCAGCATTGGTAATATCTTTAGACACAGAAAAAAAGTTTGACAGGGTCGAGTGGTCATATCTATTCTCAGTATTGAAGAAATGTGTGGATAAAATGGGTGGATAAAAATCTATGTATAGTGGCCCACAGGCACAAATACAGGTGCATCTCAATAAATTAGAATGTCGTGGAAACTAATTTGTTGAGATAGTGAATTGGTGGGTTTTTGTTAAATGTGAGACAAATTCATCACAATTAAAAGAACCAAAGACTTCAGTCTGTGTGCATTGAATTTATTTAATACACGAGTTTCACAATTTGAGTTGAATTACTGAAATAAATTAACTTTTCCACGACATTCTAATTTGAGATGCACCTGTATGTGTAAATAGCGATTTTTTTTCTGAGAAGTTTGGCCTACAAAGGGGCTGTCGACAGGGTTGTCCCCATTTAATTTAGCCATCGAATGGCTTGCAGAAGCTATATGGACCAGTGAAGAGATTACAGGAATTGGCATCGGTAAGATAAATAACATTTCTTTGTATGCAGATGATATAATTTTGTATTTATCAAATCCAGAAAACACAGTTCCAGTAGTGTTCGATTTAATGAATACATTTTGGAAGATATCAGGATATAAAATTAATTTAACAAAGTCTGTTAAATTAAACAAAAAATGTTCTCAGAATATGTACATTTTCAGTAAATTAAAGACCATTTCACCCTTTAGTTGGGCTCAGAATGGACTCAAATAACTTGGGGTCAAATACCTTCCTTTCTCACTTCTTGGAAGTATTAATTTGATAAAAATGAATATACTCCCACGATTTAGTTTGTAAAGTGCAGAAACTTGACACATACACATATAAAATTGTCAAACTCAACTGGTAAATTATGGCAATAACAGCAAAGCCATGAGTGCAATTTCCTGGAAATACCCATACCGATCAAATGTATGCCTTGAATATATTGTATGTGATTTCAGATAAAAGTGTGAATGAGAATACTTTGTATGATTGGTACAACATAGGATTGTCATTTTTGGGGCCCCAAGCTAATTTTGTATTTGTCTTTTTTATAGTCACTTTTTCTCAGTGCAGAAGCTCTTATATTCTACATTCTTGATCAATTTTGATTAAGTGCAAATTTGCTTCTTTCTTCAAAGAGCATAAAGCTTTAAGATTAGAAGAATTTTAGAAATAAATAGAAGCCTTTTAATAAACAGTGCATAAAGCAAAAAAAAGGTCATTGATGTCATATATTCCCACATATTACATATGATTCCCCTTGAACTTGAATTCTTATTTCAATCATTACCTAGTCTCAGCCTCAGACGTCACGCTCACCGTTGGCTGAGCGTCTGATTCATATGGCACACAAAATCGGAAACACTTCAGGAGTTTCGAAGTCATCATTGGATTGGCTGATTTATATAGGATTTCCGGGAGACGTGTGTGTCACGTTCTTTAACGTTCTGCCTGGAAACAAATATGCCGTGATGCCAAATCCCCTCATGTTAGAAGAAAGCCATCGTGTTTACAACTGTGACAATGAGCGCTTATCAGGATCAACTAAACGCTGGATTTTCAAAAGTATGTGAAATATTTAAAGTTCGCAGCATAGAATCTTTAAAATACATCCAAGAGTTTAACACACAGTCTTTTATTGTGGGGACATTTCCACGTCCCTAAACATGATGTGGCACAAAACGAAACGTGATTGCTTGCTTTACCTGTCAGTCATATGGCCTCTTGGGCGGTCCTTGCCATTCAAAGCGGCCAAGGTTTCCAGACCTTCTGCCGTCAGTCTGAAGGTCTGGCTACGCGAGACTAATCATTACCCTGCTACTTGAACAACATTTTTTAAAGTCCATAAATAAATCAATAAGCTAATTTATTTGGAAGAATTCAACACCCCGGATATCCTTTAAAACATTAACTAGAACCAAAGAAAAAGGTGGATTGAGTCTCCCTGACCTTTAGCTGTACTATTGGGCCGCTCAGACAAAAGGTATGATTAACTGGATACATGAAAGTAGAACTGCTCACTGGACAGATATTGAAGAAGACCTCTATTCTCCTACGCCTCTGATCGCTTTACCTTTTATTAACAACATTAACGCATTACATTCAGTGACACGAACTTATGTTGTTTATAATATACTTAGAGCCTGGCAAGATGTAAAGAGGTTTTGTGGATGTTTTGCTAAAAGTTCTAGTTTAGCTCCTCTATCCTCCAATCCAGACCTGCCGTCCACTCTTGGAAAATCTCTGTTTAAAAAGTGGAAGGAATATGGTATATACCAGTTTTAACATTTGTTTACTAACGGTTCCCTTAAGTCCTTTTCAGATTTAACTACAGAGTTCAAGATTCCAAGACAGGAGTTTAATAAATATTTGCAGATTCGTCACATGATAAGTACTTTTGATAAGGCATTCACAGGAGTGATCTAGGATAGAGGAGATCCTGATGAATTCAACAACACTAAAAAGGAAAATCTCTGTGACATATTCTGCGCTGTTAGATCATCATGATCCCCCCCTGGCCTCACTTAAAAATGTGTGGCAAAGGGAACTTGGGTGTAACTTTGATGAAGACCAGTGGGGGCGGTGTGTAAGAATGTTTTACCCCATTATCCTTTAACAAAATTACAGAACATAATTATACATTTATGCATAGGATGTAACTCACCCACTTCATCTGAGTGAAATGTACCCTAATGTATCACCTAGGTGTCGCCGATGTAAAACATATATAGGATCAATTATGCACATCTTCTGGGAATGTAGAAAACTTAAAACATTTTTGGAAAGAGCTACACGATTTCACACATGTGCTCTTTGCAACTCATTACACTGATGAATTTACTTATAGTTTGTTTCCAGAGTACATATGCTGAAATAACAGCTTGTCTGTACACAGTTTTGCCAACTGTGGAAAAATTGTGGAAGTAGGGACATATAATATTACGACATATATATTGAGATGATTCTAGGTTAACAAATCAAGTGGCCACTAGCTGAGTGGAGTAAGAAGACAGTTCTCCTCCAAACTGTATGCATTCAGTGCCAGAGAGTTTTAATCAACAGCTTTAGTAATGACGCAGCCATTTATTGTAATTAAAATGTGTGAAAGCACATGAAAATCAAAGACATGATATACAGATATCAAGTTAAAGTTGAAAAATAAAATTCAATTAGAAAACAGTGTAAAGTGCAGAAACTTGACATACCTGTACACACATAAAATTGTCAAACTCAACTGGAAAATTATGCCAAAAACAGCAAAGCCAAAAGAGTGCAAATTCCTGGAAATACCCATACTGATCAAATGTATGCCTTGAATGTATTGTATGTGATTTCGGATAAAAGCGTGAATGAAAATACTTTGCATGGTTAGTACAACATAGGATCGTCATTTTTGGGGCCCCAAGCTAATTTTGCATTTGTCTTTTTTTATTGCCACCTCTTCTGCTCAGCGTAGACTCCTATATTCTAGATTCTTGATAAATTTCGATTAAGTGCAAATTTGCTTCATTCTTCAAAGATCATTAAGCTTTAAGATTAGAAGAATTTTAGAAAAAAAATTGAAGCATTTTAAGTGCATAAAGAAAAAAAAAGTCATTGTCATACCACATTATTCCCCTTGAACTTACATCTTGGCATTTTTCTAATTACTAAATAGTAAGATCACAACTATATTATGTAATGTTTGCTCATGAGGCATTCAGAGTAATGCAGTTCTGTTTATTCAACCTACAATGTGTAACATTTTCAGCCAGAGAATTGAACAATTACAGAGAAGCGTCTGGCAGATATTAACTGTGGCTTTTAGTAGACATCTGAATATGGTGTTATCACAGCAAACACTTCACAAATGTTACAGAATAAACCACTGCCTAGAAATGTGCATATAGTGACATAATCAAGTGATATATTCAGCTTGGCAAAGTTCTCCAATGTGAAAGCTCCAGCAGCACTGAATCCAGCACGTCATTCGCCTCTGATGTAAATGTACACTATGACACGCGTTTCATGACAAAATCAAGAATAATAGTAACAACCTGCAATATCCCCTTATGAAAAACAGAAAAGTCATGGCTCATATGCACGTACACATGCAGTGTTAGTTCCTCACACACTAGAGAGGCCTTGCCAAAGCATCAGGAGTGTGGAAGATGTGTTTTGCTGTTGAAAATGCAGCAATTTCTGGACCCACCTCTCTGAAATTCTCATTGGTTCATGGATGCCTGCTTCAGACTGTGTTTCAGTTAAAATTATCATTTTTACAACTTTTGGTTGATTAATGGAGCGTCATATTTGCAATTCACTTATCTCATTGTCCGTTTTTTTCAGGTGTACCAAAATTTTGAATTACGCATTGCATTGAGTTGTAGAAAATGTTGGTAAATTTAGATAGGAGGAACTACTTCATCCAGCTATGCTGAATTTATTATTTTGACAAAAATCACATATTGCTACTGGTACATTTATGGCAGGACATTAACCATTTTTCATTTTTTCCCTTTACAATGTCCTGTTTCACCTGTTTTTTGTTTTGTTTTTCCCATTAGCAAAATGATTTTATTTACACATTCATTTATCTTAATGCAGGTTAGTGGGAAACTCACCATGGCTGTAGTTAACACGGTCAATGCATCTAAACTGTCGCACATCACAAAAAAACAGATTGCACTCACCACAATCAAACATTGTGCACTGTGAGTACCAGATGTCACACTGCCTGCATTATAGATAGATTTGATTTTAATGGGTGCGATGCAGTTTTGTCACGGTGCACACCAGACAATCAAATGATGACCAAAAAATGACTTGGTGTGAACTGCCCATCTTTTCACTTTCAGCCCTAAAGTACTGGTGGCCGTGGGCCGTATCCCTCAGTAATGTCCCCCGGACTCATCTCCTGCAGGAATTTGGGACGGTCATAGTCAGACGACCAGCAGAAGCCTTCAGAGTCGTCGCAATTCACATCCTCTTCAGAAACCTCAGGTAGATACACTACTGTTTCCTCAAGGATAGTGTTTTCTTTGCAGTCTCTCTCATTCGGGGAAATGGGGGGAGAACCATAACTAGAAGTCTCATCTGTCAGTAGGGGTGTGTGTCCCTGAGGTGTCATTGCAGAAATGGCGGTTGGCTCGGGTTGGGTTGTAGGAGCTTGGCCAGGTATAACATTCCGCTGCATATGGAAAGGAGCAAACGGTTAGGTACTGCTGTTGGTGCTACTAAAACTACTGAGTCAAGAGCAAGTCACCGGACACATCACAAATACAAAACTCTGCTGAATAAAGAAAAACTCCTAAAGAAACAGTTCACCTGAAAATGTTCAATTCTGTCAATGTACTGATCTTCATATTGGTTCAATCATGTATGACTTTATTCTGTGGGTTGCTCTTAAAATGAAAGTGGAACTCACAGGGTATCACTATGAGAGGGATATTCCCACAGATGATAAAAATGTTTGGACCAACATAAGGGTGAATACTTTTTTTGCTGAAATATGCCTATATTAGAATTTAAATGAATAAATAATAATAATAATAAATACACAATGAAAGGACCGAAAGACACGTACCAAAAATTCAGGAATTTTTGGGATTTTGGACAACTTCCTGCAGAGCAGCCACACAAAGCCAATGATAATGAAGAGCATGACGGTCCCTCCGCCTAACACAGCTGCGATTAATCCCGTTTTGTCTACAGAAAAGACAAGAACAATTCAATTTAGCATCTACTCTAGTACTCACAAATACTTTTACTGACTTTATTTCAGAATAAAAGTTCAGAATTTCCATGCCACTATCAAAATCAGACAGATCAAAAGTTTTCAAATAAGTTTCAAGCGCTCCCCCAAACTGCCACTGATCAGACAGATCAATTAAACAGTCCCTTTTCAGTATTGAATGAATTATGAATATACTTTTAGGGTAAGGTAGTTCTCTTTGGTGCAGCTAGAGGCACTCTACACTCTTCACCAATAAAATATGCCATAACCAAAATCGATACCATAATACAAAATCTGTATCCACTGGTGTCTTAGTGGTGTCTGAAACTCATGTGCTCATTTAATCCCAAAATGCACCACAATAAAACGTGCACCCATAATGCACCATAATGGTGGTGATTTCAAACACCGCTCACGTCAGAGCTCTCAAATGGACTCATTTATTTAGCATCCTGATGGCTACATTAAAGAAATAAATACTGATTCTCACACAATGCCTGCACTTAATAGCATGACAGGAAAGCTGCACTGCATTACGAAACATTTGCAAAATTAAACGGATAATGCTTTTACCGGTCTCGGGCATCTGCTGAGGGACACAAACATTTCTGTAGGTATATGAAGGAATACCAGCAATCTTCCCTTCAAACTTCAGCTCAACACACTGTCCAGCTGTGCTTTGGTTCAGGTGGATTTCTCCAGTGCACAGCTCCTCCTCCTCAAAACACAAGTATGAAAACTTTTGCTGTGGAAGGAGAAAAGAACAGAGTGATTTTAACAATTCAACATCCTAACATGACTAACATTTAAAGAAGGACATGGGGGAGTCTGTGCGACTGCTTTTCCAACCTCATCATGTGTGACTGTGTACATAAATTCTTCGTTCAGAATGTTTAGCTCATGAAGAAAGAAAGGGTGCTGAAAGGACACTTCAATCACGTCTTTGTGGACAGACGTATTTACAGCGGGAAAGTCCAAAGAGCCTGGAAAAAGAAAAAGCCAATATTGTTTAAAGTCAAAATAACAAGAAAAAAAGAAAGAAGTAATCCTGTGAAAGACTAAAGCATATGAATTCCAACACTAAAACAATATCCAAATAGATTTGCATTTCCGGAAGGAAACCGCAGCAGTGCTTGCAAGGCAGCAGAATGAGAGTTAAAGTTTTAAGGAAGTTTCATTTTCTTTTAGGCTCTGGTTATTGGTAAATTAAATGCTGCCGTATAAGAACGAACATGTGATGCAGTGCTTTTCTCACTACAAGGCAGCTGTATTGTTAAATAGATGCAGTAGAGAAAGGACAAATTAAGCAAAAATTAATGACATCAACACTATCTGCTGAACACTGTTTTAACGCAACTCAATGCAAGATTGACCAAATACACCAACGGTTTGGGCTGAAAAAACTGCAGATGTTTTATTCTTAGAAAACGAGCCTTAAAATGTCTGAGAAACATCAATAGTGTTTCATCATCAACAGGGCCTTGCAAACACTGTAATAAAGTTTCCAGATGATTAGGTTATACACAGAGAACTTACATTTATGTTTTTTCTCATCAAAAAAGTCTTTGCTGTAGGTGAATCTAATGGAGACGCTTTCTGACTTCTCTTGCCCATCATGCGCCGTCACGTACACCAAGTAATCATCACTAACATCTCTGCTGTAGCTGCTGATATCAAGGTACGTCTGAGTCGTGTCAACTGTTTGGGAATCACTAGAGATAAATGGGACAGAAAGATTAAGGAATGAGATTGCGATTAAGAAATGTCACATTTTTTTAAATAGTATTTTTTGATCAGCTGCTTTTGACACACACATACCTTTCATAAGCTTCAACCCTTACACTGAATTTCAGCTGTTCGGATGGGTTACTGTAGTTCCAGTAGAGGACATTCACAAAGTTGTGACAAATAACACTGACGTTTGTTGGAGAAGGAACTGTAGGAAAAAAAGTTTACACAATTACACAAAACTCAAAGCTCACGAGAACAACAAATCCTTCCAATATTTCTCAACGGCTGCTGAAATGCCGAGGCATTTCTAAAACAGACGTCATCTTCTTCAGAGAATCTTAGATTAGATTTTGAGTTTTGCTCAAACACAATCACTGAATTTTGGACACACACGACTGAATCTTATTATCTAAATATAAATGTGGAAAATGAGTGTGGAAAACAAATATATAAAAAAATAAATAAATAAAATAGTGAAGGAAATGCAGCAAACAAGTGTCAAGCATTCAAGGAAACTTTGTCAATAACCCCTAAAACCAGCCTGGACAGAGTGAGAGACCAGCTAAGATCAGTAAACCAGCTTAGACTGGAATAAGAAGTTTTTATATTTCAACGGGGTAAATACAGTAATTCCCATACTTCCATTTGTGTTAATAGATTGTTTGATTGATAATATATAATCTGAGGCTAATCTATTTGTGAGTCATAGTATATAAATATATATAGGCCTTAGATAAATACATGTGTTTTTTTAATGATCAACCATCATAACAGCCTGATATTTCAGGTCATTCTGAACTGAGGAAGTGGCTGATAGCATGTGCCATCACAGGAAATGCAGGTCTTACTCAATATGAAGACTTAAAAAAAACATTCAGTCTTGTTCATGGAAGTCCCTGTAGCATTTTACACATTGGTATGCATTGCTACTTTGGTACATATAAAATCAAAACAAAAGCAAAAAAGAAAATACTGAAAATGAAAACAGAAATACTCCAAAAATACAAAAATGTAATAACAGTCACCTGTGTATATTTTCATTTTACTTTGGTACATATAAAATTGTTTATTATTATTATTATTATTATTAGGGGCCAAGCACCTATTGTATCCGTCAGTTGTCTTCTTCTTTCATACTTGAAGTCTATGGTTGCCCATAGAACCGCTTGCGGGAAAGTTATGAAATTTGGCACAAAGATAGAGGACAGTTTCATCATTAGTCATAGCAAAATTTGAAGTCTCTATCTCAAACTCTCTAGCGTCACCAACAGGCCAAGTTTGCACTCATGTTTCTGCTAACAACTTTAAAATAGTAAGGTTTTAAAGCAAAATTATTTTCCCCTCAGATTCCTTGGCTCATGCCGAGTTGAATGCACACCAAAATGTACATTTCTATGGGTCAAGATTGTTTGCAGTTTTGAATTTTCCAAAAAACCTACTTTTTCAGAATTTGTCCAAGACGTTTTATCCAATTTTCACCAATCTTGGCTCTGATCATCTTCAGAGTATTCTGGCAAAAAGTTATCAAACGTTTTCTGATATACCAAACCGTTCTTGTAAAGCAATTTAACAAATCTGGCTGAGTTTGTGCAAAAATTGATATCTCTGCAATGCTTTAGCTAATTCAGACCAAACTTAGTATGTGTTATATCAAGCATGACCTGAAGTAGAGACCTGCGCGGGACTAGGGATATGCCGGTATCAAATTGTCATGTTGCGATTAATTGCTAATGCTTTTATCACGGTATACGGTATTATCACAGTATTGAAATTTAGTTTAAAAAAAGTGCTGTCATAATACAGTATAACAGGTTTAATAACTTTTTTCTTATAACAAAAATAACTGAACATTTACATGGTTTGGCATGGCAGAATGCGAGCAGCACGCTTCCTTTATTATCACAAAAAGCTGACATCTCAGTTAATCGCAATCTCATAAAGCTCTGTTATAACACTAAATATACGCACAATGAATCTTTCACAGTGTCTAAAATGAGAGGATTCGTGAGCACGCAATTTCAGCACTGCGGTGAGTAAATTCTAACTTAATCACCTCTGATTGGCCATTGCGTTCCAGAAATCAACAGCGGAGTCTGTGATTGGCTACATTATAAATGGAAACTATCTCTAGCTTGCGCGTTAATCATTTTAATGTTATTAGTTGTTCTTTTTGCTTTAGTGCAACAGATAAATAACAATTTATATGTTTTAGACACTTTATGTTTAGATAATTTCTATTTCCCGCACCCGCACTCGCCCATCAAGAGTTGTCCCGCGCCGCACCCTGTTGCGTTGGGTCCCGCGGTACTCCTGCGGGAGTGCAGGTCTCTAACCTGAAGCACATGAGTAGATTCAGCACAGCGCCTACTGGTCAAAAGATATTTAAAAAATTACATTTCTGCTTATAACTTCTGACCAGTGTGGCCAAAAATCATAAGATTGGTTTCGGTAGATTCGGAACGAAATACTGTATCGAACAATACATAATTTTCCTATGTTAGCCTTTTTTGGGCATTGGCCAAAACGGCGTTGGTTTTGAAGTAAAATTCTGTATCAACAAATCTTTAACAGGGTTCTCCAACACTACTCCTGCAGAGCTATTATACTGCAGAGTTCAGCTTCAACTCGAATCAAACACATCTGAACCAGCTAATCTAGTGACGGCCGCTTTTGAATCACTGCTTCGTGAAGCTTCGAAACCTTTGAATAATTTGTTTCGAAACAGTGGTTCGGAGCGTGTATCACGTGGCAAAGTCACGTGATCTCAGTAAAAGAGGCTTCATTATGGCATAACCGTTTCGAAACGTTTTGAAATTTCAATAGTTCGCCTTTGGGGGGCGATCTCTGTGAACCCGTGAATCATGCGAGTTCACTGTGATCGCCCCCAGCGGCAAACCATTGAACCTGATCTCGGATCAGTTTGATCAATTTGTAGACATTTTTAATGAGACATTTGTGTAATTAAAAGGATGAGTAGTAGTTAATAGTCTCTTACTGGCCTGTTTAAACAAGCTCTCCATAAAACAAACAAAACAAGCCCTTGCAAATTAATAAGAATTATTTTAAAGATGCATATTATACAGACACTTCATTTTTAATGGTATTTTCTTATTTATTTTGCATTCAATATATTATACTTTCAAGAAAGCATTTGCATTCAGTTTGTAAAAGCTTTTTTTTGCATGGTTTGACAAGCGTTTTTGTTGCATTTACACAGTTTTGACCAGCAGGCGTCACCAGCATGTGGTGTTGAGCGCTTCGAAACAGTGAATCATTTTGCGAAGCAATTGATTCGAAGCTTCGAAATGGTTCGCTTGGTTCAGGGCTACCAAACTACAAACAGGTGTTGAAGCAGAGCTGGATCTGAAGTCTGAAGGAAGGTAGCTCTTCAGGAGCAGGGTTGGAGAAACCCTGTATAAATGTATAAAGAGTAACATTTTTGTCTTAAGTGTGTCAAAATACTTCAGACTTACTTACTTACTTCTTAACTTTATGAATCACTCTTATTCTTAAGTTTAAGACTAGGTCTCAGCTCCTAAATTATGTAAAGAGAGGTGGAGAGGTCTCCAACCTAGTTAGGAGTAACAAGATGGCAGCAAAGAGGAGGAGACACACACTTTCCAATGAAGATATGACGTTTGGAGTTATATGATGATATGGAGTTGATCAAACGATACAAACTTGATCATCAAGATAGTCAATTCTTTTTGTAACTGACCAAGTAAGAAATTTAATAACTTCTTCCACTCTACAAATCAATGCTCGGTAACTGCAGAAATGAAAGTAGTAATACAAATTTTTTTTGGCTGGAAAATTGGAAAAATGCAGCAATGCACTAATGATGAGGGTCTTAAATATTGAGGGTCTTAAGTCTAGGAATAGGAGTAAAATTACGTCATTCTAAGAATTTTGACACACTTAAGACTACAATTTCACTCTGAGCGGCTTTATACATACGGCCCCTGGGCCCGTATGTATAAAACTTCTCAGAAATGCTCTTAAGAATAGTCTTAGGCTCTGACTTAAATGTCAAAAAATTCTTAGTTACAAGTAGGACTTTTCTAAGAGTATGAGACTTTTATAAAGAAGCTAAAAGCAACTTTTAGTAAAGTCTAAGACTGATTCTTAAGTGTCGACTGAGGTGACGCTTAAGTATTGCAAACTAAGGACTACAATGATGTCAACACAAACAGTGAGTCTGCTCATGTGAAGTCACAGCAGCACAACACTAATCATTTAATGTAACTACAATAAAACAATTTTAAGACACTGAAATATTTTAATATTTTATTTAAAAAAAATACTTTGCATTGTGCAAAATTATCACAAATTGTTACTGATGCTTTGAAATTGTTTTCTATTGGTATGTCTCCTTGTTTGCAATTGTAGCACTGATGTGAACATGAGTTCCATCAACAGCTCCAACAACCCCAGGAAAGCCCACAATCCTCATGAAAGTGGCTTGTTTTTGCAGCATGGTTTGTCAGGCAGTTGGAAAGTCAAAGAACTGCCATATAGTAGTGGCCAAAAGTGATGCCGGCCTAGGAAATTTGACATCTTCACCCTTAATTAAAAAAATAAAATAAAATAAAATGTTAAAGATTTTGTAAGCATATTGCATAGTTGCTTAGAATCAATTGTTTTATTTGTGATAATAATGCAATGAAACATGCCAACATGACAATGCGGTCATAATTTTTGGCCATGCTGTCATACAAAGAAATTACGAACACATGCAAAAACAGCGTATTATACTTCAGCTTCATTCATCGCACCAAAAGATAAACTGCAGTGCTTTACAACTATAGGACAGGAAGAGCTAAATAAACTTATCACTGCATCTAAACCAACAACATGCCTGTTAGATCCTGTACCCACTAAATTACTGAAAGAGTTGTTACCTGTAGCAGAAGAACCGCTTCTCAATATTATTAACTCGTCGTTGTCTTTAGGTCACGTCCCAAA